GCTACACACCGTAAGCAGATCAGCTCCATGTTGTTCATGGCAAGTATATGAAAAATGATCTTGAGAAAGTTGAGATCATTGTTGCAAAGTTAAGGTCACAGAATATTTAGTTTTTTAAGTTCCCTATGACAACCGACAAATTTCATTGACAACGTCCGCTCCAGAACGTGCAAGAAACTACTACTTTTGTAATTAAAAAAAAAACAAGTAAAAAAAAAAAAACATTAAGTTCGGCCGGGCCAAACTTTTAATACCATCCACCTTAGGGTAAAGGAAACATTAGAAGAAATGTGGCAAAAACCATTAAAATGCCGAATATCGGGAGGTATCGTTATATGGGGGCTATACCAAATCGTGGACCTACACATGCAATGTTTCGCCAACGGAGTTAGAACCCATTATGACCTACAAATATCAATTTTCAGACAAATACGTGAAAAAATGTGGCAAAAATCATCAAATTACCGAATATCGGGAGGTACCGTTATATAGGACCTATAACAAAACGTGGACCTACAATTACAATGACTCGCCACACGAACTGGGACCCATTATGATATACAACTAACAATTTTCAGAGAAATTCTTAAAAAAAATGTGTCAAAAATCATCAAAATACCGAATATTAGGAGGGACCGTTATATGGGGACTATATCAAAACGTGGACCTATACATACAATGTTTCGCCACCCGAACTAGGACCCATTATGACCCACAAATACCAATTTTTAGACAAATCGGTGAAAAAATGTGGCAAAAACCATCAAAATACCGAATATCGGGAGGTACCGTTTTATGGGGGCTATACCAAATCGTGAACCTACACATGCAATGTTTCGCCAACGGAGCTAGAACCCATTAAGACCTACAAATACAAATTTTCAGACAAATCCGTCAAAAAATGTGGCAAAAATCATAAATTTATCGAATATGGGGAGGTTATATGGACCTATACATGCAATGTTTTGCCACACGTACAGGGACCCGTTAAGCCGTGAAAAAATGTGGATAAATCATCAAAATACCGAATATCGGGAGGTACGGTTATATGGGGACTATACCTGAACGTGGACCGATATATCTCATTTTCAGTACCAACCATCCTAGACACAATACAAATTCCTCTGCTAAATTTTGGCGCTCTACGTCAAATAATGTGGGCTGTATCGTGATTTCAGCAGACAGACGGACAGACAGACAGACAGGCGGACATCGTTAAATCGACTTAGAATTTTATGCTGATTATGAATATATATACTTTATGGGGTCTACGACGAATATTTAAGGATGTTACAAACGGAATGACAAAGTTAATATACCCTCCTTTCCAAGGTGGAGGGTATAACTAGTAATTTTTAAAAAGCTTGTAAAACCTGAGAGCAAATTAAAGAGTAAACGATGAAAAATTAAGGTGGCACATTCTTTTTCAATATATGGATGGGAACTCAGTAAATGACGAAATTTTGAAATTATACATTATTCAAAAATAAACACAGTGGAAATTTGAGAACGTACTGCTTCCAGTATATATTACACTATCAAGGACCCGCTATTTCAACAAGTGCACCTTAAAATCATATTCAAAATTATTTCAACGTCTCCATATATAACCGCTAGAAACCAACAGTGATCTCATCTATCTATCCCTTCAACCAAGACCAAATTTAGTACCACTCATTACTTGTCGTATAATTGTAGTACACATTTCCGAAACAACCTCCATGTGCCCAGTCTGAACATGAACAGCGACCCTAATACCATATTTCAAGCGCTATCTGTTCACTCAATACCAAATTGTGCTAAATATGGTACTATTTTTATTTATAGATAATTCTGTTGAGAAAGCCAGCTATTATCATGCAGTTATATGGGGGCTATACCAAAACGTGGACGGACTTTTTCAATATCAACCAGTAAAGAAAGTCCTAAAGTCGGGCGGGGCCGATTTTATGATACCCTACACCACTTTGCTAATTTAGTTGAACTCCACTTAATAATTAAAAGTTTTTATGGAAGATTTCGATCATACACGCAATGATTTTAATTATGATTTAAAGTTCAAAGGACTAAATATGCCGAAGCATTTGTATATTTTAAATTCGGACTTGTATTGCCCATTTGGTGCGAAATTAACTTGAAATCGGATAAAAATATATATGGGAACTATATCCAAATCTGAACCGATCTCGATAAAATTTGGCAAAGATATTTCTGATATGTATTTGATATATTTCCCTGAATATCGTTGTTACGGAGTGCATATTACGGCTGTGGGTAACAAATACAACAAATCGGATGAACAATATATATGGGAGCTATAGCTATATCTGAACCGATCTTCACCGAATTTGGCATACTACCTTCTAGACTAAATTCCATCTCATTTGGACAAATATTAGACGTTTGGTGCACAATAAACGGTACATCGGACGAAGTTATATATGGGAGCTATATCCAAATCTGAACCGATCTCGATAAAATTTAGCAAAGGTTTTTCTGAGCTGCATTTGATATATTTCCCCAAATATTGTTGTTACAGAGTGCATATTACGGCTGCGGAGGACAAAAATAACAAATCGGATGAACAATATATATGGGAGCTATAGCTATATCTGAACCGATTTCGAAAAAGTTTGGCATACTTATTTTCAGGCCTAATTTGGTTGTATGTGCAAAATTCCATACTATTCGGGCTGATATTACACGTTTGGTGCACAATAAAAGGCAAATCGGACGAAGATATATATGGGAGCTATATCTAAATTTTTACCGATTATCTCCAATTTCAATAGGGTTCGTCCTTGGGCCAAACAAATGTTGTTTGCAAAATTTCATCTCAATCGGCATTTTGTTCACAAGAATACATGGACAGACGGACGGACACACGGACTGACATGCATAAATCAACTCAGAAAGTGATTCTATGCAGATCATCAAAAGGAACTATGGGTCTATCTCGTTTCCTTTTGCCTGTTACAAACAAATGCACAAAGACATAATACCCTGACCACCTTGTGGTGTAGGGTATAAAACCCGGCAGCCGTAGCACACCTCTAATAAATTTTTATCAAAGTACTTCCCTTCATTCGGAAATCATAGTGTTTCCCACAGAATACGGACATCGACATAGAATTTTATGCCGATTAAGAATATATATACTTTGTGGGGTCTAGAATGTATATTTCGAAGTGTTACAATGGGAATGACAAACTTTATACACCCTCCATACTATGTATGGTGGAGGGTATACAAATGTTAATCTTTTATGAAGGAGGTACTGAAGGGAATAACCTTAATGTTGTGCAAATATTGTAATGTGCAAAATTTCGACTTAATCATAGAAGCAAATGGTTTGGCGTGTGATTTAGGATATTTCAAAAATTTAGCTATACTCAGAAAGAACTCCTCGAGACCTTTCAGTTGAGCCCAGCCTCAATAACGCAGCTATCATAGTTTTTTTGTGCAGTTTCAGCATTTTCTATGCATTTTCCCTACTGCCAACCCCATTTCGATTAGAAAATCGAAAAAATTCGATTATCTGAAATAATTTGGGATATATAAGGCATATATGTAAATTACACAGATTTCGCGGAATCTTAACTCGAAAATTTCCAAAAGTGTGAAAGAAGGGAAACTTGTCCCCTCTATTCTGGCTACTTTTCAATGTAAACTATCAAAACGTCGATACACGTGTCTTCTCTTTCATACCCTCAGTCATATGGCTACAGAGCATATATGTCATTTGATACGCCAGTACGTGCCTCATTGATATAACGGTTTTATACTCTAGGTATCTTTGGGCATTTGTAGTCGAGAGGCGGATACCTCTCTCTCTCTCCGTCCGGTTTGATGGTGGAATATGTCAGACCACTCCTTCTGGTACATCCCGCCAGAAAGTGTCGAATTCTCGAATAATTATATCTCTCATAAAATACGAAATAAACGTCAGATTCTCTTTAAATTTCACACATCTGGTGTGAAGATGGGATGTAACGGATTTGCTCCTGGTATGTACCTCCCCCCAGAACGGGTCAAATTCTCGAATAATTATATCTCTCATAAAATACGAAATAAGCATCAGATTCTCTTGAAATTTCACACATTCCAATATTTTACAAACGATCTGATGAAAAGATAGAATCGATCTATTACTGTTACTTCCACCGCAAAAAGTTAAAATTTTGAAGCTCGCAAAACGCGAAATGAGCATTAGATTCTCTTCAAATTTCACTCACTGCAATATTCATACTAAAACAAGATCAGGTGTAAAGATGGTAGATATCGGCCCACTCCTTGTGGTACCTCCCGCACAACGAGTCAAAATTTTAAATAATTATAACTCACATAGAACGCGAACTTTTCGAAAAATTTTAAAATATTTTATATAAAGTTAGTGCCATAATTATTCGAAATTTTTACCATCTTCGGGGGAGGTACTTGATGGAAATTTTTTGAAAATTTTGCTCTTTTGTGAAGGATGTTTCAGAAGGAACATCCTGTACCAAGGATGTATCAAGTTTGGACCAATTCCGAAACTCGTGGGCACCAGACAGCCAACCAAGCAGAAGGATGAACGGTTTTGGTCCAAAGAGACCCAGGGCCTAAAACCGTTATTTTAGTGAGGCACGTTTTGGCCGTATCTCTAGCCATATGGCTGAGGGTATAAATGAAAGTCAAAATATATTTTAATAAGCTGACATTGGCATGTTATATAGCAAGGGTCTTGGCCATATGTTTCGACTGAAAATTAGTCAAGGAAATTGATCACATTCATGCAACGCTCTACAAAGAAAATAATATTCAATCGTTCTAAAAACAAAAAATAAAAAAATAAAAACAATTGTTTTTTTTCTCACATCCAGCGGAAATACTGACAGACAGGCATGAAAGTGCCTCCACAGAAAAACAAAAACAAGAATTGAAAAATTCCAAAATAAAAAGAAAACAAAAAAATATATGAATGGAGATAATGGAAAAATGAAGAAAATCGTAGGCCTAGTTTAAGTAAAAGCATGACTAACCTGTTCCACATTCCGTTGTTGTTGTTGTTGGTTATTCGGCCAGACGATGATATTCCTTCTAAAGTTGCTGTTGTTACTGCCGCTGCTGCTGCTACTGGCACTGCTGCAAATGCTGTCGTTGTGGCCATTCGAGTTGCCGGAAAAGTGATTGATAAGATTTTGATTAAATTGCAACTGCTGTTGTTGTTGTTGTTGTTGCTGATGATGATTGGCTCGCAAGCCAGCCTTAGATGCGGAGGCATTTACATTTACTGGCAACACTGGCGCATTAGAATGGTTCAAAGCCTGATTGAAGGCCTGTTGGCGTAATTGTGTCAATGAAGCTTGCATATTTTGCTGCTGCTGTTGCTGAAGTGATCCAGCTCCATTGCTGGAAAATGGTGGTCGTCTTGCTGGCAAAGCCGGAGGCTTATCATTGGCGGTGGCTTTCTTGTTGGTTGTATCGTTGGTTGTATTAATACCAACCGGTTTGTTGCTGTTGTTGTTGATGGTGGCCTCATTCTGGTTGTTTTGGTTTGAAGAAGAACTGTCTTGCGTTGTAAAACGCTTTTGCGGTATTGGAGGTGGAATACCGCTGCTACTATTTCCATTATTATTGTCGTTATTATTGGTATTACTGCTTTTGTTGTTGTTGTTGCTAGAACGCATGTCATAATCCAAAGATTTGCAATGATTGTTGCTGCTACTGTTGTTGAGTGAAAGTGATCGAGCAAATGAGCTCTTAAAGAACCGGCACGGCAGATTAAAATCAAAATCCGGCGGTGAGGCATTTGCCGGCGATGTCACATCCAAAGAATCCATTTTGATGTTATTATTTGTGAAGCTATTTGTATCTATAATTATTTTTTTTTCTTTTTTTTTTTCAAAATTTCTATTAATTCAGCGCACGTCTCACAAATGCCGGCAATCACTTATTGTTTTGCAACAACACTTCAGCGATTTTTTTTTTTGAATTCTTTTTGTATTGTATTTTATTTTTCTTTTCTTTTCTACACAATTTTTTATATATTTTTCTTTTGTTTGACACTTGGATTTTGATTCATTTGTTTTATTTAATTCTTTTACTTTCCATCACACTTTCTCAGTGACATTCGCCATAAAATTCTAAGGTTGTTTCACAACACTGACCATTTGAATAGAAATATCTTAAATTATGCATGAGACAACAATCGCTGCAATTTGTCTTAGCCCACATTCGACATATTCATAAAACACATGTATGTATGCTTGTATTTTTGGAAAATATCTACATATATACGTTTCCTTTGGTAACAAAAACAATATACTTTTTGAAATTTTTCTTTTGTCATCACCAATCACCACCATCACCACTTTTGCTGTTTGGTAGCATGCATCATCGCATTACGCATTCACCACAGTTCCGACAAGGTCTCACGTCGTCGATACGTCTTTGCCAGTCGCACGTTTTTTATTAACTAAATAAACTGCCTGGAAAAGCGTACAGGCAAAGCATAAAGTTCTTTGGCACAAAAGTTGTTTCTTTTGTTTATGAAAAAGCCCACCTCACCAAACGCCACACAGCACAGGCAACAAATATCATTTGACCATAACAATGGCTCTCTCTCTCTTTCCCCAACAATGCATTCTCTTTGTAAGAGAGTTGGCTACCTCTCACAGTGATCTCACTGTTATGTTTACGGTTGCCACAGTTGTTAATATTCTACCAAAAGTGGTAACTTGGTAACTTCACTTTAGTTTTGACATGGCATAATTTATGGCTCAATAATAAGGTCGAAACTTCAACTTCAAAAAACTTCAACTTCATTTGTTTATGTGTGTGTATTCTTTTCAATAATATAAAAATTTTTCAGAAAATATTCAAATTCGGGTGTTTTCAAAATGCTTATTGCAACATATGCATCCACAAAGTCTACAGTTTTTGTCGCGAAATAAACCATAAGAGATATATAGAACATGATTTTGAAAAGAAATTTTGAACTTTCATTCAGTTTTTGCGGTTTTAAATTATTTATTCAAAATCAATGCAACAAGTTGTTTGCTTTTTTATTATTTTGATAGTGATTCTGACATTACAAGCCAAACAGGTAGACCTCTATACTTGCAATTTTTTTAAAGTTAGCCTACCTTGTCTTCATTCTGCCACCGGAGTTTGAACTCATTACGAACTAAAAATACCGAATTTCAAACAAATCCGATATAAAATGTGAATAACATCGTCAAACAAGTAAGAAAACGCTATAGTCGTGCGGGGCCGACTATGTTATACCCTACAACACTACAATATGGTAGAAGCCCCCTTATGTCCAAATACATATTTGAAGATTTGGCTTTTGAAATTAGGAAATTTTTGAAATTAGGATCCTTTTGAAATTAGGATTTGCAATGTCCCTAGTCATTTGCCCAATATTTATGCACTCCATCGTGCTGTTAGTTGTTGTAGTCGATTTTTCAGCTATATATAATCCAATGGTCATCCAAAATGTTAGAATTCTTCCCTGTCCTTAACTCTCTTCACAGGCGTGTCGATTGGCTTCAATTGTGTGATCAAGATTTTTTTTCCTGTTTTTGGTTCATTTGAGCCCCTTAATATTTTGCGATCATCTCCAAAAGCAAGACGCCGCTCTGCATCTTCAAATTTAGACTCATCTATATAATTTGCTTGTCAACGATATTTGACTAAATTCGTCAAATCAGCATAAAAAAGCCAGAAGTTCGCCTTTTGTGAATTTTAGATATCGCTTGTGAGTAATGCTGGTATTTTTTCAAACCAAATTAGTGGTCCATTGTACCTGCTGTCCTAAACTCTAACTTTATGCGAGATTTCGTGACCTTTGATTTATATTTGTGACCTTTATAACGGCTGCAAAATCAGGAAAAATTTTAGTTGTTGGTCCATTTCAACCCCCTTCTGAGCCCAACCCTACCCTTGTAAAAATTTTCGTGAGGATCAGACGATATTTGCAATACCTGTGTTGTAAGGTGAAAAAATATTACAAAATATTATAAGTCAAATTGAAAAAATCGCATGCGATAAAAAATATGAAAAAAATAAAAAAATCACAAAATACCACAAAATCTATATTAACATCATTATTGGCATATTTTTCTGCGATTTTTTTTATTTTTTATACTTTTATGTCAAGAGGGCATTCTGAATTGACAAAATTTATTCCAAATCGGTCTTTGATTGGTCTATAATTGCGACCTGTAGAGCAACTGCAAAATCAGGAATTTTTTCAGTTTTTGGTTCATTTCAACCCCTAAATATTATGCGATCATCTCCAAAAGAAATAGGGTTCTATTCTGACCCTAGCCCCACCTCCATTCTAAATTTCGTGAAGATCCGACTATAATTCCGACCTGTAGAGTGATTACAAATTAACATGGACAGATGGACAGTCGGACGAACATACATAGCTAGATCGACTCAGCTCGGCGAGATAGGAAGATCCATATATACTTTCCCATGTGGGAAACCAATATTTCGTGGTGTTACATAATTTTTGGCCCAATCAAACTTATAATACCCCCAACACATAGGGTTGTAGGGTATAAATACGGAATATTAAAAACGTAAGCGGCAATAGAAAAACGTGGGCCTAAAAAGAATATTTTATGTCTCAGGATGTATAAACAATGACCAATACCAACATTTAACTAATTTCATGTGCCAATATCATCAGAATGCCGAACATCAGGAGTCATCGAAATGTTGGATATATGCGGAAATTTAGACGGATATGGCTCATTTACTTGCCTGACTATGACAAAATCCACATATGTGCCAAATTTTAGCCTACTATGACAATTCGTTAGAAAGATAGCGTGATTACAACAGATGGACATATTTATAGGGTGAAATACAAAAAAAAAAAAAAAAAAAAACTGCAACAAAGTAAAACCCCATAATTTTTATATTGTTATTTAAGTTTTATTGAGTGAAAGCAGCAAATGTCGGAAATATCATCAAATTTTAGAATAAGTTTAGATTTGTTCGAATTAGTCACCTAATATTGCTCTGCGGTATTTTGGCTCATTCCTGACGAAGCGCTTGCCTGAGGTGATCAACACTATGGAATTGTTTAGTGGCAACCTTGCTTTTCAAAATACTCCAAACACATTAGTCTAACGGATTGGTATCCGGAGATTTTGGTGGCCATTGTGCGCTGGAAATGAAGCGAGAAATCTCATTTTGTAACCATTCTTAGGTGGCGCGTGCTGAGTGCGCTGGTGCTGAGTTCTGTTGGAATGTCCATGGTCTGCACCCTCCAGAATATTTTCGCGATAATATTTGGCATTTATTCTGATGCCACGGTCGATTAATAAGAGCCGAGAGCGCGCATCGGCTGTTATGGCGGCCCACACCATCACCATGGCCGGCGTTAGAGTTCTGGTGGCCAACCGAAGGTGCACATTTTCACCTGACCTCATTGGCAAACTGCTGGACAACGAATGTCTTCATGTCGGAGAAAACTAAATTCGGCAGTTTATCACTTTCGGCCAAGCGAAGCAACTCCTTAGCTCTACTGAGTCTGTTTTCTGTTGTTTCTGTTGCGGTGTAAGTTCTTGCACCTTTTGGAATTTCAGTGGCTTTACCCCGAGCTCAATTTTCAATATTTGCCGAATGTAATATTGCGATATGTTCAGCTCACGAGCCATTTTTCGGCCACTGTGACGCGGGTTTCTATCAAGTCGCTTCTTTACTTTTCGAACCATTTCTGCTGATGTTGCTGTTTTCTTCCGTCCACTTCCTTGACCTCGGACTACGCTAGCAGTATCACGGTAACGAGCGATGGTACGGGACACAAAAGATTTATTCACATTTATATGCTGGAGGCTCTATCGATAGCCACTTGCGGTTTTCTAGCCAAATATAAAGATATCACGCTTGAATTCCATCACGAATAACTTTTTCCATGGAAAATTCTCACCAAAATGATTTTGTGCGCTTGTAAACAATATAATGAGCTGTCACTGGAATATTTTTAACAGCTGTCGGACGAGTGGCTTAGATATGACAGCAGTCTGAAGTTGGTTGCAGTTTTTCCATCTCACACCTGGACCTGCATAGACAATTTTCCGTCAAAGGTTGTAGTGCCCATTACGAACTTTATATACGAAATTTAAAATAATTCTGGTGGATAATGTCGCTAAAATCATTAAAATACTAAATATCGGGAGGTCTCGTTACATGGTGACTATACGAAGACGTGGACCTGCATACGCAATTTTTTGTCATAGACTGTGGTACTCATCAAGACCTTCAAATAAGAAATTTAAAAAAAATTCCGGTGAATAATGTCGCTAAATCTTCAAAAGACGAAATTTAGGGAGGTACCGTTATGTGGGGCTATACGAAGACATAGACGTGCACAGACAATTTTCCCTTATAGGTACACATTACTTATTTCAGGAGCGAAATTTGAAATAATTTCGGAAATTATGTCGCTAAAATCATCAAAATACCAAATTACGGAAGGTTATACGAATTCGCGATTTTTGTCATAGGCTGTAGCATCCATTACAAACATTAAGTGCGAAATTTGAAATTCCGGTAAATAACGTCACTAATATCATCAAAATACCGAATATTGATTTAAGAGCTTAACCTAGCAAGATGCCTTCTATCTCAATTATCTGTCGATATAGAATTTTATGCTGTTCGAGAATGGGGTCTAACATGAGCATTTCCGCAGTATGATGGAGGGTATAAAAATTATATAAATATAGACTACGGTTCTGATTCTACCAGACTTTCATTATTAATTTAAATAATTTCCACTAAATTTATGTGGCAACAACGACCGTGTGAGGAATTT